ACGGACGTCGCCGAAAGGAAGCCGAACAAGCGTTCCGTGAAACGCGACTTTTGCTACGTGTCCGTCTGTGTCGCCGATCGCTCGGTCTTCGCCGTCGTTTATACATATACAATAAAGATCGATACATTTCTATATGTACATCGTCCCGTGATCGTGGAACAATGGAATAGGTTCGGCTCGCGCGCGGAATCGCAGCTTCGATGAGAACGATTGTTCGAAAAAGCCTACAAAAACGTACTCGTCGCGGTCGCTTCCTTCTTCTGCGGTCCGCCCCTTCGAGCCTCTTTTTTTTCCAAATGGACAATGATCTAGAACACGATCTCTCGATCGTTCCAACCGGCCCGGAAGAAAGACTTCGCCCGAACAGAACTGGACACGACTCTTCCCCCATCGTATAAAATTATGTATTCTCTTTACAGGCGTGTCGAACGAACGATAAACGACGATTCGATCCATCACAGTTTCGAGTTTTTAGGACGGAAACAGGGTATTCCATGGATTATGCCGAGCTTAAAAGTTCTCTGCAACAATGACGATTACACACAGATATTATTCTGGCACGGGTCAGTCCTAGAACCTGCTACCTCTATTTATCGTCGACGAAAACGCGCGGACACTCTAGCGGGCATGGGCAACAATGCGATCCGCGCGATCGTTCGCCGATTTTAACGGGAAAGCCCGGACCAGTGGCACCGCGAGGCGGACTCTGCCCATGCCTGCTTTTTTTAGGCATCGTGTACCGGAAATCGGGTATCGATAACGCGCGACACTCCGAGTATACACGGTCATGCGAGAGCGTCGTCGGGATACTTACGTCGAAAGTTCTCTTCCCAGTAAACCAGTCCCCACTAATCCTGTACGCGATCGACTCCTATTAAGCTGAGCCCTTCTCTCTGCTGCAAAAGTAAAAAGAAAGTTTACGTCGTTTGTATTCCTATCGGACGGTTAGGCGCGTTAGTAAAACTTGTGGAGCGCGCGCGCGCGCGCCCGCGTGCACGTTTTTACTTCGCAACGGCGATTCTCAAGTCGGAGCATGCGAACATTCACGGATTGATCCCAGCTAGTGCAGAAAAAGTAACTTTATTCAAAATCTCGATGATCACGGTGTATTTTTACAAAAGACAGAAAGAAAATCCGAATTACAAACGATCGATACAAAAAATTCATTTCACGAGCCTTGGCTACGCTCGACGAACCGATGAACACGACTTCTGAACATTATTCATCTGTTTCCTAGCGTATAAAACGTATAAAAAATACCGAGACACAGCCTTCAGTTTTATTTGCGAACGGTCGCCGCAACGGCGCGCTTAGAGAGCTAGATTCATTTCTTGGTACAAAAAAAGGTAGGATACGCGGATCCGATTCGTCAACAAATTAAAATTACGCGAATAAAAAAAAAAGAAAAGAACTGATAAAACTGGGAACTACAATGAGGTGAGGAGACTACCAGAATTTCCATTTCATTTTATCCCGTTTCCTTCTCTTTGGAAACATCGGCCAGTTCCGAACGGTCCCGAAGATCGTCGGGGCATTGTGCTTTTGATTACCCGACGAGATCGCCTCGTCGCTACTCCGCAACTCCGCTCCATCATTTTCGATTTCGTCCGTTTCGTATAAAATGCTGAAAAGATTCTCTTTCCCCTGTATTCGCGAGCGAATCGACGGCGGCGTAATCGTCGTTACACCGTCAACTTCTGTCCGGATTTCCGGAGACAGCGGCTTGATCGACGATCGATCTGGCGTGCTGTTGCATTGTCGTCGCGGACTCCAATGCTTGACCGATACGGTGTTCTCGTTCACGTCTTTCCAATAGGCAATATCGTCCAAGGGTTTCGCTCGGACAAGGGAATTGGCCGGCGTGGGGATCGTTTTACCGTCGGCAATATTGTCCGCGGATTTGAACATTCTGTCGGGCGTGTTGCAGAAGAACGAGGTGTTGGATTCTTGGTCGGGTAGCGAGGCGCATTCGCTGAGCGGGCTGCCCAGGAAGTTGAACGACTTCCGCGGTTTACGGCCACGCCTTAGGTGTTTTATTTTGCGATTGCGAACGGTGCGACGCACGATGCTGTTTCTCTTTCGTCGCTTGCTGACTACGACGCGTCGTTGCTTAGCAGGGGTCAGCCGCATGACTTCGCCCATCAGAACGGTCTTGTACAACGAGGGCGAGTTCTGATAGCCGGATCGAAGATGGGGCAACCGTCTGCCCGACACGTTCGGTCGTTTCTTGAGTTCGTCCACGACGAACCGGTAGCTAGCAGCGGCGCTTTCATTCTTGCAGAGATGCAACGATCTCGCAGAGAAAAGCTGTCTGATAGAGTTGTTGGGCGACCCGACGTCCGGCGAGAAAGGTACGATTTCATCGAGGCTTTCGGATATCCCTGCGATCGTGTCTCTCCTAGGTGTATGTTCGTCCATCTGCTCCGACCGGCTGTCGTAACAGATTCGCTTGTTCACGGCCACACTCTGCCTCGTTCGTTTGAACGAATTGATCCTGGAGAGGTTGATCTCGCGCCTGGGCGCTCTCGCCGCGACCTCGAGCAATGCCCGTCTGAAAAGCTCTTGGTTTTCGTCGGGCGTGGTGTAGACCGTGTTGCACGGCTCCAATATCTCGCAGTCAGGGTCGCGAGTTAGGTCGACGGACACGGTAGTACGCGCAGACGAATCGTTCGGGTTCCGTAACGGTACGCGACGCAGCTTCGCCTCTTTCGAATCGTGCAACGCGGCGAGCAACGCTAATCTCTGTTGCCGCGCGGACTCCTTCCTCGAAGCGTACGTAGTCCTATAGAACTTACCACCAGCGGCGCGTGCTTGACGTTTGCGGCGTTGATCCGGTCTACTGAACGCGGAACCAGTTTGAAGAGCCTCCATCAAGCTGTCCATGACGCCCTCCTGCGTCTCGTGAGCGTTCATGTCGACGAGGGCGCGTTTGCGGGCCGCACGGGCCGCTTTCTCGGCTTCCGCTTTTTCCCGCGCCTCCCGTGCCCTCCTCTGCTTCTCCTCCCCCTCCCGTAACTTTATTATCTCCCGTTGCGCTTGCTGAAAACCGAGCAACAAACTCCGGTCAGGCTTTTCCCGTCTAATCTCACGAGTCCCCTATCCCCTCCACATTCTTCGAGTACAGCGAGAGCACGTGAAAAGATAGCCAGACGCTGGAATGCGGATCCGATTGGCAATCGGTACGATTTCCTGATCTTTAACGAGTACTCGTAGCGCACCATTTATTTCACCTCTGCGCGGTGTGTTTCAACGTACTCACCATAAAGTCGTCTTTGAACGTTTTGATATCGCCGAAGAACTCCTCTATCGTGTACTTCTGTTTGTCGAACGAGAAGAACTCGGAGATCCCGGTGTACAGGCTATCCATATTCTTAAACATATTCTGCATGACCTCGTAAGACTCGCGCGCCTTCTTCGCGAACGGCTGCAGCATAGTGCGGTCAAGGAAAAATCTCGCTTACTCGTACTTGCCATAAATGAGCGATGGTAGCTATTAATAGCGAAAAGGATACGCCCATGACTTCGATAAACCTGTCCTCGTCCGATTGGGGCACTTTAGCATTCGACAAATCCTGCTCGAGGTTCCGGATGTTGGAATCCATTTGTCGCAGCGTCCTTTGGACGTTCTCCAACGATACCCGACTCGCCCTGTCCACATGCGCCAATTCCTCGGGGAAGCTGATGCACTCGGGGAACTTCTTTTCTATCGTGTCGACCAGATAGTGCATCAGGGTCTGCTTGTTGTCGATGTCCTTCGTGCTAGTCAACTAAAACGTTTGAAATATGTCAACTTTCTGTAACAGCGATTCCACTTTCTCTCGAATGTGAACGTACCTTGGTTAGGAAACTTATCTCGAAACCGAAAGCTTGGCCATTCTTGGAACCAGAGTTCATGTAATTACCGAGCAACAAGATCAACTCGAGAATCCTGGCAAACTTTTTGCTATCCTTCACCTCCTCGCAGGCCGCCGTGCCGGCCACGATGTCCGGTTTCACGTCTTGCACCAGTTCCTCGTACCGTAGCATAAAGCTCAACGACCTCAACCTCGGCAACAATCTCTTGATCGTCGATATCTGTTGAATCGACAACGTTTTGTCATGGTTTTGTGAATCGAAAGGATCGATGAGTATCGTAACTTACGGTTACGCAGAATTGCTCCGCTTCCGTCAGTTCGTCGTATTGATCCTTGAAGGCTTGCAACTTTGACAGCTGGTCGGGTGGCGGTAAATACTGGATCAACCCCTGAAGTATATTGTCCGACACAACCGGACCCTCGCATTTGAGCAAACAGGATTTCACTTGGTCGTACGACATGTGCTTCAAAGTGCCACCCAATAGAATCAAGATATTCTGCGCGGCTTTACTGTCGAGAACCTTTAAGTCCTTCGTTTTCTTCGCAGGTACTGACCTGTACAAACACAGTATAGTACGGTGATGTGCACATCAAAGTATGAGGGAGTCGGGGGATGATTAAATTTCTTACTTGTCTACCACGTCGTCGATCTTCTTTCCGCTGGGCTTCGACGCGAACTTCTGGGAAAGACCGTCCAGAATTTCAGGACTCGCCAGTCGTTCCTCTTGCACTTTCGTCCAAAACGATTTCTCGGTAAGCTTTTGCGGTAGAATCTGGAAGGCGATAATAAGCGTTTAAATTAAGGACTCCAATTCTTTAAATTCAGGTCCTCACCGCTTTCCAATTTGCTCTCTTTAATGGTGCCTCGACCTCCCATTTCTTCTTTGGCTTCAGACCCAAGGGCAGCGACTGCGTAGTGTTTGCAGGTGGTCCTGCACCAAAGCCAGGCATCATGGGAGGAGGAATCGGACCCATTCCGGGCATGGGGGGAGGTGGCGGTCCCATTCCAGGCATGGGAGGTGGTGGTGGTCCCATACATCCTGGCATGGCAGGTGGTCGTGGAGGTCCTGGAATCCCCATACCAGGAGGTGGAGGAGGTGGAGGCGGTGGCGGAGGCGCGCATCCGCCCGGAAATGGAGGTGGCATAGGTGGTGCCTGAGGCACTAGACCTGGCCCACGCATCTGTAAAAGAACCGTCGGAATTAGAAGCAATTCTAACAACAACAATAAATAACCATGATCGCTCACCATGCTGGCACCGGTAGGCTTCCCTCCGGTTTGCTCCAGTTCTCTGATCTTGTTCTCCGCATGCTGGAGCTTCGCTTCGGCCTCCTGTTTACTGGCTATAGCTTCCTCCAGTTTCTGCGACACCTCGATCAACCGTCTTTCTTCTTCTGCTCTCGACTTCTCGACCAACGTGTCGATCAATGGCTGCACGTCGATTTGAAACCGCTTGGTCGCGCTAAAGTCCGGGTCGCATCCTGAACGATGCAGAACTATTTGCGACACGCATTCCTCTATTAGTTTGTAGTACGCGGGCCTGTCGGATCGAGAACACGAGGCAGCGCGAACATGAAAAAAAAAGAAAAAGAAATGTGCAGATCGCTGGAACGCAACACAATTAATAACGCGTCGAGCATCCTCGGGAAGCATTCCTACCTGACCAACGCGTCGTCCCTAACGAAAAGCAGGTGCTGGAGTATCGACAAGAAATACGGTTCCGCCGACGACTCCATTACCATATTTTTGATCACTTCGAAGCAGTCGTTCACGTCGTCGAGTTCGAGTCGCACGTGGTCGAACCTCTGTACGAATTCCTCGTAGTCCTCCTCCTTATGGTCGTTGAAGATCTTTAAGTGTCTAGCCAGGTCTTCGGACTCGTCCCTGTCGAGCGTCTCCAAAATATCTGCCAAACCGACTCGCATGATCTCGTTCCGCAGATGCAGTCTGAAGTCCAGTTCTTCGGTAGAGGAAATGATAGAGTTGATGAGTTGAAGGCACTCGACCTGTTTCGACAACGGAATGCTTTATTAACGATTGATCGTGAAAAGAAGAGTACAGCAAGATAGACCGAGTGGTAGCATACCCTCAGGTTTTCGTTCTTCTTATTCATCAAACCCTGAACGATCGGTAGAAATCTTTCTCTGCTCTTGAACTCTCCGTTCATGGTGATCGCATCCAATACCTTCTTGTGACTATCGCTGGAAATCAGGCAAACCGCGCCGAGAAGCTTCACGGCTTCGGACATGACGGACGGTTTGGTCGGTTCCAATGATCTCGCGACGATCGTCAATGCCTCGTGATGGGCCAGCATTTCCTTTATGCCGACGGTGTTGTTCATGATAGCCTTTAAGCATCGGATGCATTCGTATTGTATGCGCTCGTATCGATTGTCGCTGCGAAGAGATACAAAGAAAACATTGTCTCAGAGACACAAGAACCGCAGCAGATGTACCAGCGAAAAACAACTTTTCTTCGCGACAAAACTCTCTGTGTTGCTCGGTCGACGGGCAGAGGGCATCGTGCAAAGAATCGGTATACGAAAACTATACGGTCTGCTGAACTAAGGGTAGCCGAGAAAAGGATCGAGCATCGTGTGAGATTCGACGCTCTACTAGTTTTCCTAACATTATTGTTCGACATCTCTCGTAATCGATCGATCTTTCTCTGGCGTACCTCGCATCGACAACTAGCAGCTTAAAAAGAAAAACGAAAGGTCGCAAGGCTTTCTATCGCTAAAGAAAATAAAAACTAAAGCGTATAGTATGTTTGCATGAATTACCTATCATAATATATGAAGGCACTGGAATAGAACAACACGGTGATTAGAAATTCTTAGTCCGGCACCGTCGAATACCAATGCCATGATGTAACGCAACGATTCGCCGTATTAGGAATGGAAATACTTACTTCCGGTAACACTCGTTGAGCGTCGCTAAAACCTGTTTCAATCCCTTCGTGCCGAATTCTTGTACCCAGCTGAGAGGATTGTTGGTCAACGCGATCCTCAAGGACTCGATGCAGCTATAGATTTTGTTCACGCTAAGATCGGGCTGCGCGAGATATGTTATGTAGTCCGCAGGCTTGTCGAACTTAGACCTGTTCTCCTGGATGCTGCCTTTGTAATGCAGCACCAGCATCTCTTTCTTCTTGGTCTCCGACTGCTGTCGCAGGGGTTCCTTCTTCTCCTCGGTCAGGTTCATGTTCGCCTAAAAGACAAACGTTTTTTAACTACCGATCGGATCGTCGCCCTCTTTCTTTCTGCTCACCAACATCTCCTCGAACTTGTCGTTCACAGCCTCCTCGTCCATCCTCTCGATGATGCACCGATGCTGCTCGATCTCGTTAAAATCATCGCCGGAATGGGGTCGGGGCATCGTGTGGTTTCCCGAACCACTTCTGACCCCACCTCCACGCCCGGATTTTTTTGGTCGGCCGAACCATGTGTCCAGCTGAAACATCGTCATCGGTCAAGCATATATCGTCTTCGTCTCGTTCAACGAGATATCAAGGAAATCAATCGAAGAAGCTGGTCTCTGCAAAAGTCGCGAAACGAACGCAGTAGAAAAGCGAGTCTTACCCATTCCGTGATCATAGATTACGCGTTTGTGGTTACGGGCGTTGTGGTAAGGACCGCAAGGACGTGCACCTACTTCGCGCGCTTTGAACGTGCCGCGTCCGATTCCGTTAATTAACGATCACAAGCTTCGAGACCCGATTTCCTTCTACTCCATCCGATTTTCCACTTGCCCACTCGTCGATTCTGTTCTAGTTTTTCACCCTATACCACGCGTCAACCGATGCAACAAAGGTCACTCGAATTTTTGTACCCTTCCGAATCCTAGATCCTGTCGATCAATCCGCGCGCGCTACACGCTACCGCGACACCTCGTCGGCGACGATCCACAGGTGTTTGTCGAAAGGATTCGCGCCGCTGCCTCGGATTTCAGGTCTCACCGTTTCAGGCGACGACAACACGCTCCCGATAACCATCGAGTAACTAACTTTAGGATAACGGCACCGCCGATGGCGAGTCATCGAACGGACCAAAAGGAGAGAAGATCGAGATCGAGCTCAGCCGAACGGTGGAAGGACGCGCGTGCGTATTCGCTGGATCTACCCACGACCACGACCACGATCATAAAGCCCTCCTCTTCTTACCGCAGACATTCGTGTCTGCGCTTTTCGATGTTCATCGCCGGAACGAGAATCCGTTCTCTTTGTACGCCGTCCGATTACCATTATTCATATTATTTCATCGACTTGAACGCCTAGTAATTCGACGCGAGAGTGGCGCGTGGGCGCAATTGCAGGGGCCAGCAGTTAGGGGCTGCTTCAACCCCGCGCCATTTTACAACTTTTTTACTTTGTACGGGAATAGTTTTCTGACCCAGTATACAGACTTTCTAGAGGTCGTGTTTTATTCGGAGAAAACAGGAAAAATCTTTCAAAACCGATCAAACGATTAAAATTCCAGATTTTTCAAGTTTCAAGGGTTTGTTCTCTCGTTCCGATTTTTGCCGCATTTCGAGGCACTCCAATATCCCGAACAATGGGCTCGTTTTAGCGAACTTTTCAAGTCGTTACGCGCAGCAATTTAAAACGTTCGGTTAGGAGGTCGCGTTAACTTTACTGCTAATTAATGGTCAACGACGAAAAGTACTTTTCCGAAAGCGCGAATTATCGCGAGTCGCATTCTACAAGCCTGATAGGGTCTGCGTCATGCCTGTGAATAGCTCAAGGTTTCGGCTTTCGGAAATTTGTGTGCGCTCGACACTCCAGCAATTTCGTCGTAATTTACAGTTGACATTGTGTCTCTGTTACCGTTCATGATATGTTTTCGGAAACCGTCGAGAGCAATTGTCGGAAACAGCTCGCGCGCATTTCTATTTGTCGGGAATGCCGATGAAAGAAGGGAAACGAGGAAAAATTTGAAACAGCGGATGAGATCACTCGAACGAACGGTCGATGATGTAACAGACTGTGACCAGTATGCGCGCGAGCTTTTCACTCGAATCCTTCTCTTCTTTTCTTTCTCTCTTTAACATTTTATTCGTTTCGCCTGCAGACCAACGAAGAAACCGTGAAACCGACCGGTTTTTAGCCGATTTTTTAAAACTTCTTTGATCGCCGGAATTCGGTGCATCCCTCCGAAAAACAAGTTGCAATTTTGATTTTTCTTTTTTGGCAAATGCCTTCGTCAAGGCCGAAGCAGTTCTTTAAAAATTGATTGTTCGTCGCGGCACAAAGAATCGTGTCACCTATGCCCACCGATGGGCGAATCTATATCCTTATGTATGTATATTCTCGTGATCGTACTCAGTCGCCTAGTTATAACGATACGAGAACCAGATTGCATACTGTGCATGCTTGTACGCATTCTCTGCATGCCGGTCACCGGTGACTGACGCGGCAGTAAACGCATGAAATTGTCATAGCCCTGATCGACGAGTCTCGTCACCTTGTCCTAATAATGTGTATCACGCGGTGCTTCGAGTATCTAGGCTTTTTCTGTATGCGGAATGGTTCGCCTTGAGCATTAATACCGTCCGGCGAGTCTCGCGATTACCATCTTGGATAATTCGATGAACTCAATGTCAATCAAGTACGATTTTATGCGATTTTATCTTCTGTCTTATACTTGCGTCGAAGACGTAGCCGAATAATCGAAATTGATCCGAAGAGTTAATTTGTCAGGATAAATTTTGTTGGCATAGGATCGGAAACTAACACCTATTCCGCTATCGCATCACTACAAGCGTAGCCGATAAACGTACAGCAGGAAGTGCGACATCGTGCCTACATATTGCGTGCATATCGTTTTCCAGAACAGATATCAACATGCGCTATCATGCTTCCCGATATTGCACGAATTCCCGACTAAATTCGAAGATTCTTATGATTGCAAATTCCTTGGGCAACCTGACCGAATAAAATTCCGATAATTCTGGCCCAACGATAGGTCGCAGCAAATAGTCCAGAGCATGTAATCTTGACCACATCCGGGCACTACAAATGTTATTTGAAAATATAGAATGTAAACAGTACAATTAATAACAACCCAGGCTATTTTTGAGGAGAACTATACGAGCGTATTAGCCATGACTGCTTCCAGGAAGTATTTCTTTCAAAACTTCGAGTCTGCTGGATTATCGGAATTCTATTGTATCTCAAAACCGTTATCATCTACCAGCTCCTTCGGTAATTTTCATTTCTTATCTCACATACGTGTATGCATTTTAACGCAAGCAAATTGCAGCAAGTACTTACAAAACCTGCCGACGATTTGTCCTTTCTATTGGCCATAGTTTAATCTTCCACAATCATTACCTTCGATTGCACATTGTTTTCTGCAGCAGATAAACAAATTAAGATTTTATTCTCTTTTAGATAATATGCCTCTGTACATCTTGTTTCTCCTTCAAAAATAATTCTTTTCAGCTTGAGCAATATTTGCGAACATGACTAAAGAGACTTTATTAGATGCACGAGCGTGGGTGTAATAATCTTGTATTTGTTCCAAATAGGATACAGCACTCCGATAAAATACAATACTAAATGTCTCGCACTTTGTGACCAGGCTAAAAAAAACTGCTACCAAAGATTACTCTATTTGTATAATAATGGAGCAGACAATACTGTTTATATTTTCGTAAAAGTTGAACTAAACGGGGTAAACACCGCTAGAAGAAACAAGGCGTGAACAGAAAAGCAGTTGGTACCGTGTGTGATTCGATTTGGAATATACTTACTCGATACGATTCAAAATACGCTTCGGCGAAAGTCAGTTTTGATGATTAGAAATCCGTTATTCGCACAAGTTTTGAAATTGTGTTCTATCGGCCGGCAGTTATACATTAACGAACAGTTTCCCTCGGGTAGGTAAAAAGCAACGAGCACTTGGCAGTTTGTCGGACGAGGTAAAATGACCTTTCCAGAGAAAAATATTCGTTTCATCCGTTATGACAATGAAACACCTGCCAATACAAAGCAACCTATTCAGAAAATTGGGAAACAATGGGTTACACCACGGTGTTGTTGTTTCAACGAGAACGAGGAATTCACTGGAAAAACACCGATATCACAAGTAATTGCAAAATTCACACGGTAAAACGATCGCATCGGTTAATATTCGCCAAAGGAACACTCGGTTTAGAAGCAACAACACGCGAAATGCTGCGAGAGAACATTAGCGCCGCGAATGTCATTTCTACGACCACAAATGCTAATTGCTCTGTCGGTAAAGCAGAAAATTTGCAGACGTACAGTGCCACCAATTAATGGTATCATAAAATTGAATTCTATTGTTTACGCATATTGTTTACAATCAATATGAAAATTGGGTAACGGTGTTACGTGAATTCACAATATTTATTCGAGACTTCAATTTCCATTTAAAATTCGTTGCGCAGACGTTCCACGATCTAATTTCAAAATACGCGAATTCGTTTTGCAGACACGCCCAATTGTTCAAAATCTTTGTTTCACATTTAAAGATTTCTCAAATTTTTCAATGACAATTGAAAATTTTCAATGACGGAGAGATTACGTAAAAAGAAATTTTTAAGTTTCTTTTTGATATAGCACAATTCTAGGAAATCCTATTTTAATAGAGGGGTAAAGCGTTAAATTGCGTGGTAAACTAAGCTTTTAAATGTAAATACAAAAACGAAATGTTTGCAGTTACGAAAAAACAATACGGCAGAATTAACGACGCCGTAAATGATTAACGCTGATTAAACTTTATGGTACAGTTTACTTTCAAAGATTAAAAAATTTGTACAGGCTCAACAAATATCTTTCGTCCGATAGTACGGAATCGAAACGTGCTTGTTTCAGCTCGGTCACCGTTCGATTGGCATTTTACAAAACAGTAAGTATAATCAACTTCCCTCAAAATTCAAAACCGATCTCGGTTACCGGTTTTAGTAGGAAATAGAAATCGTCGAGACTGATTTTGCGCTAGCATACATCACACTGAATTCGAACAGTTGAACTGAGAAGTGACCTCGTCGGAATCCATTAAGAAACTTAAGAACGACTCGGTTAGATACAGTGGTACATACGTTCTAAAAAGAAACGGGAAAAGAGGAGCTCGCAAAACTTATAATTAGTGTCTTACGTTACAAGAGAAGAGTACAAGTACTGGACCGCGACATAACGCACCGCTCAGTTTAACGAATACTTTTAATATACACTATGCGAGTTTGAGAATGCCGAGTCAATTTCATCGATTTTATATAATTCACTACAGAGATTAAAAAATAACGCGATCGATAATTCTCATCATTTGTTCTATAATCTTTCCCTTTTTTCCATTTTATCTTTTTTGCAAAAATGACGTAGTGCTATGCCTCGTGGAAGCAAAAAATAAATTTTCTTTTGCATTCCAATTACAAAATATATGAAGTTATTCATTCATCGGAATCGCTGTTATGTACATACAAGCTAAATGTACATATAAGACTTGTTCAATGTGTTCTGCGATAAAAAGTAACCACTTACACTGTTTACTAAAGGCCATGTCGTCGTATATTTGAAAACGTTGTTCGCGCATTTGCTACAGGGCTGCAACAATTTATCTGACCTGATCTTTTCTATTTTTCTTTTGCATATTACAACGAGCAGGAAGCAACTGCGCGAACGCTTTTCCTAAACACTGATCAGTGTTTCAAAAATGCACACGAAACGGTCGCCAATGTTTCCAAAAAACGTTTACTAATCCACGAAAGCGTTGCAATTGCGCGCCTCCGGAGTCCGGACAAGAACGACAATCACATCGGTTTCCTTTGAAATTTGTTCACTACTCAATGCGTTAATAACGTTATATAAAAATGTTGTAATACTCCGGATCTTGGCGTGGAAACTTATACACAATTCTTGCAATTACGCAATACCCGGGATCTCCGTTAAGGCTCGAAAAATCAAGAGCAGAAACGAATAAACGATGCGTTTCACAGAATTTAACTTCCACAAAGATAATGTAATTACCTTGTACGATACATCTCTTTAGAGAAAAGCTGGCTCTCGTCGACAAGTGATTACAATAACATGCTGTTACTTTTGATATCTCAAAAGAAGTGAAAAATCTACACACCCTATGGCGGCCTAATTATTTTAAGGTTCACGCATGAAAACAATCACATTGAGCGTTAAAACATTGAATGTTTTAATCTAATAGAAGGCGGAACAATTGATAAACGTTCCAAACTTTACACCGAATAAGTTCTCACAAACTGTCAGCAGAATCGAGTGACACGATACTAAATCTTTTACGATTCAACGATACCGCGCTTAATATCATAATGAATTCGAACGAAATAAAAATACAAAGAGTATTACAACTAAACGGCAAACGAACATAGGATGTGTAGTTCGCGTAAAGGAAATCGAAATCGATGACCAATTTTACACAGTAGACTCGCGGACAGAGATTATATGAAATGTTAGGCGGTACATCGGCTAAATAAATCGATCGAGTTAAATATAAATGGGAAACAATCGAATAATAGACGTCACATTTAAAATACGAGGCGAAAAGCATGGATCTACTGTGAGAGTATGGTGATCGATCGAACTAAAATATATACTTAATATTGTAGCAGCATTAATGTGTCTGCAGTTCTCCTTCGACCCGATTCTGTTTTCGTAAGACAAAAATGAAAATTACTGGAAACAGTTACAGCGAAGATCATTTGATCGACTTCCGACTATCGGGATGGGTTGGCGTCTGTTAGCAAAAGTTCCAGATTCGCGTACCCCTCAGTTTTCACGCGAGATAATCGGTTTAAATGCTGACTGAGCGTGTTTGCGGCCACTGGTTGACAAGGTGCGACGCAGGGTGATGATTCGCCGGTTATTTCAATGATGTTCGCTATGAAAGATGACCACTCCGAGGACGAATCATCCGTAGGATATAGATCCTCTGCTCGTTCCAACATCGATGCTATTACAGATACGCCGAACTAAAAGAGAAACGGTCATACATGTAGCTGTCGAAAGAAAAAGAGAAACGAATTGGGACATTTCTAACAAACCTTGTTCGTAAGAGCAAACGATAAACTGTTGTTCCTGACCGAGTGGCCAACGGAATCGGATAAGGATCGTACTAGCCGTAGTATTGCACCAAAGTCTTGTACGACGGCTATCCACCGTTGAAACTCCAAATAAAGCGTTATCAACAAATGGGAATCTCTTCGACCTATTATAGCTAATCCTCGGAATATCGCGTTCCACAGGTCTTCCAACTGAGCGCGATACTCTGTTACGTCCACGAATGGTAAGAACCTCAATAACAGTGTCTGCAACACGATTCAATGACAGCGATAACCGTAGAAAACCCGACTGATTCTTGTCGTTCGAGGTTACTCACTTTTCCTTTGCGAATGCTAAGCATGCTTGTCAGTTTATCGTCTTGATTCAATTGATGTAAAGAAGACAGCATCGTGTTTATTAGTTCTGGTTTTGTTTTTTTAACGATGTTCGCTTCATTTTCTCTTTCTTGATTCTGTTGTTGTTCACCGAGTAGGGCTAATGGATTATGCAAATCCTCCAGCTTCAATTGGACTACATACAACTAAAAATGTTATCTTTCATATTATTCAGAAAAATATCGAATACCAACATTCCCTAAATGGAGCTTGTGAATAAAAAATAATAACTGTACCCTTTCGATTTCGAGCAACAATTGTCTCGTTCTCCTCGTATCCCTTTGTTGTATTTGCGTAGCTGACTGAGGATCGCTGTTTGGTACAACGTCCATATCGATAACTTTACGCGGCGCTATCACGCTAGCAAATTGTAGCTTCCCTAGTGAATTTTCGAATTGTGCCGGTATATAGTTTTTTTTAAAAAGAGTATGATGCTGACTTTGTTCTCGATCCCTAAAAAACGCGAAGCTACAGCTAACATTGGAAATCACGTCAAAAAATGCAAACACTAAGAAAAGAAAGAGCACCTTGAATCCCTGTGGTAACCATTATTGTTATTGTGCAACTTTTTATCTTTTTGGTCTTGACTTGCGTTCTGTTTGTTCTTCTTGTCGCAGAAGACGGTGTAATAGTAGTCATCGACGTATGACTCGTTTGTGTTTAGTTGTAACAATTGTATGTTAATCAACCACTGTTTTTCCCGACTGCTCATCAGACCAGCATATTCATCGTACTCTCCCGTATTGGTCATTCCGTTTATTGTATGATTATGATGATGGTAATGGTATGGTCGTTGCTGGTAATTCCACTCATGATTACGATGATACTGATTAGTTTTAAAAAATGGTTGATGATTTCCTTGTTGTTCTGGGTGATGGAAAGATCTGTTCTGATTTCGTTGGTTTCCAGAATACGGAAAAGAATGTTGCTGCTGATGAGGACCGATCTGATTGCTAGAAAAAGGAGGCACCATGCTGTGATCCGTTCGCATAAACGACGGAGGCCCTAAATTCGAGTGTGGAGGTTGCTGAAAAAAAAACAATGTTTCCTTGATTATAATCAGTTATACCGGATAGTTTAGCTAGTGTTATTCACAGTAACTTACAGGAAAATTATTGCAAAATGAACCATGAATTGGTTGTCTTTGCGCACCATGTGGCACCATTAAATGCCCAGCGTGTGGCACCATCAAATGCGCTGGAATTTGATACCTCAATACGTTTCCAGTTTGATCTGCAAAAACGATTATACAAAAATTATCAATAGGGTGCTGGTTGCTTGGCTAGTATTATCACGTAACATATACGCACTAGGTAATTGCCTAAGGTGTGGTATAAATTGCATGTGTGGGAATCTTGCATTTGGGGGTAGAATAACAGGATGAGCGGACGGTATGCCTAATCCTGGTGGAAAGCGCGGCGATGTTGATAAAGATTCGAACAGATGGGATCCATCGGACTTCTGTTGTTGCTGCTGTTGTTGTTGCGGTGGTTGTTGTTGTTGTTGTTGTTGCTGTTGTAGTAATTGAACAGGCTTTGCCAATCCTGGAGGTGGTCTACTACCAACGATACTTTTTTCTAATTCTGTGACGGTACGTGCGGTGGTCAAGGCCAATGGTAATGTGACAGATGGCCCAGGTTTAGGTAAGGACAAATTTGACGGACTATCCCATACTCCAGGCCGGGGGACGATCCCTTCCTTTTCATCTAATACTAGATGCGATAAATTATCTTCAATATCCGCAGGTACTCCATTCTGAAACATATTTTTCATCAGTATACAAACGCGATATGATTTATGGAATCAATTTAACGTTTACTTTCTTATTCGATGCGTTCTCGTTTTTCGGTCTGCTCCGACTTGATTCAGCGATCTCTGAAAGTTTCTCGTGATCTTTCTCCCAATCACCGATGGCGGCATCAGAGCCAAAAGTTTCATTGTTGAATGCGTCGTACTCCTCTTCTCTAAAATCGTCGTCCTCCAAAGGGCCATACAGCCCATCTTCTAAATTGCTATTCTATAGAAAAAGTACAAATCTTAAAGAAAGATTCAAAGTCTTAAAAACTTTGGACAACTTTTGAGCGAGCTAAAGCAACCGTCACGACTTTATTCAAATTTCCGCTAATAATTACTTAACTTGTATTAATATGTAATTTGAAAACTTATATCTACTTTATTATGGCATAGTAGAAATCAATTCTAAATACATTAGTTAAATTGTTGCCTTTTTTAAGTACGTTTTCAAGATCCACTTAGAGGTTAAACAATTTTGAATAAATGCAAAACGAACCGAACAGTACAAAGGGTACGGGAAGCGTTCGAATGTTGTTTTGATAGCGAATATTGGAGTAACAACATGACGAAAAAGAAAAACGAAGTTGCCTACAGAAGGTTCAAAAAAATGATAACGATAACAATTACCACTGAGATAGAAGTGTTAACGACCTTTACGGAAAAGAGAAGAGGTTATGCGACGTACCTCCATCGCAACTTGTGGAGGAAGTAAAACGGGCAATGCTTATTCGGAAAACTATACACTCCGGAGGGATTGCGAAATGTTACACATAGCCGATTCGTTCGATAAATTCAAAGATTTTACGAAATGTTCTTGTTTGCCAGGCGTTAAACTGTTTGACGAACAATTTTAATTCTTTGTAGGCGGATAAAAGGCGACGCGACTGTTCGTCGAGAACGAATCGGAGTTGTGCTTTGGTCGGTCTGTTTTCAGCCTTCTCAGAAGGGAACTGCTAGCAGAGCGTTAATTCGTTGAGAGCGAGTCTACTTACTGCGAGCAATGTATCAAAATCGAAAAAGAAGTCTGCCATTTGTCGAAATTAAGTGTGCAAAATGTCATGTTCTGATCAAACGTCACGCGATACGAAAAGCATAAGCTGTCATGGCGGTTACATGGAATATCCACAACCACGTTCTAGATGTCGCTCGCGTTCCCGAGAAATCGTGCCACGTAATAGTCTTTCGTAGAAACTGCTGTTGGTTTGTAAACTGAAATCGACTGACCTTGAAACACTACCGTGACCAGAATAGCCTCTTCTTTACCGACAATGACTCCATCCTCCTCTAAATCTCTTTGGGTAGAAAAGGAGGAGGATACTGTTTACACAAGATCGAAACAGTCGGAAGTGCACCATTATTTGAAACGTAATATCACGGAAAATTGATTTAAGAAACATATATGGATTCGTAAGTTTCATTGTGCATGAAATATTATTTTCAGCGTGCGTAATTGTGAATAATCTTCCATCTGAAAGATCTTTTCTGTTCATATTTGTATAGAGAATAAAAAATGTATACAACCAAAGTTTCGTGATTATGTTCACGCGGCGTCACTTCCCTGCGCAGGCGTAGTAACAGCTGATTCTTGAAACGGGCGGGAGTTTCGCCTCTGCAAGAAAGCTTCGTGTTTATAGGTCGAAGGAGGATGTGGTCGATTTGGCATGGTACGAAAAGGAGCAATGCGTGACCGAAAAACAAAAATATTATTGTAGATAACTGATACAAATCAACATTATCGAAGTATATACGCATTATCTTTGTGTGTCCGCAGAAATGTACGAACGCAGTCCTCGCAGTAGATTGCCAATGAGATCTTCTAGGTCGGCCAGAACTGCGTTCGTCGTTTTCAGTCTACGTATAAACGGAAACGTATACATATAAAATAATCTATGTATGTATAATATGTACATCTCTCTAGCGGTATAAACATAAGCACGTGTATAGTTTATCCCTGTTTGATTACCCAAGGTTTCGCAAGGGTATCATAGAACGACGGGGGGATATTTAAGGGAAATAATCATCGAGAACGACGAACAATGTGAACGTGCATTTTTATTGCCATTAAGTCTTTTCCAATCGTGCTAGGTTTCTTTCAACTTTGGTTTCCTAATTCATCGGTAATGTTATCGATAAACGATATTTAAGATTTAAGAATCTAGTGGCTTTTAATTAGCGGCGAATCGCGGGAATTTCAACTCGTTGAAGCGAGGTCATGTAAATGCGGTCGCCGCGTTCTCGTACTGTATCGTTCCGTTTCGTATCGTATCGTATCGTCTCGCGTCGCGTCGCGTCGGCCATGATGCGACCATGCGAGTTCGTTCAACTTTCGATCTCTGACACTCGCCCTTCGATTATCGAACTTTGATGATAATGGATTCTCTTGCAAGGAAATTTCAATTGTTCGAATCGGATAACGAATCCTGCACTTGTTCAAGTGTAAAGGTGAGATTAAACTTACTAAGAAGCGTCAACTTATATATAGAGCACTTTATGCATAAGATCATGGCTTGCAACAAATATTTTGAGTATCGATTCCGTTCAAACAAGAGACTTCTATTATAGGGTGACCAAAAACAATAAGTAGCAAAAGCGCAAATGACTGACGCCAAGTGAACTGTTCGAAAGTAATTTAATCTTATGCATAATTTTCTTAATGGAACAGGCCCCTGTACTGACCTATAAAGCGTTTTTGCCTCGGAAAAAACAGGAAGTTTCTCGCAAGTTTCTCGGGACGCGCCGAAGATTGAACGAGCTCGCTCGAACGAATAACAGCGCATGGAGGAGGCGCGTGTACGCAGAGAGCAGGTGAAACTATCAGCAGGTGAGTAGCTTAGACGCTACTCGTGGCGTGACAATCGTCCAGTGTAGCCAGACTGCTTGCTCTCAACGGCGCCAGACTCAAGGAACTGTGATTCAAAGTATTCATGCCGTGAGGATCCTCGCAATGCAGGTACAATCGTGAACTAACCGACTTGTGACAGTCGGGGCACAGACGCTTCTTTTTCTTATCGCGCCGCTTCAATATCTCATAGGCGCACCTGTAAACGACGCGTGGTTCGATGAACAGTCGGGGACTGGCTAGCCGGTCGTGTCTACGTTTTACCTGGCGTGCAATATGTGGGAGCACGGTAGCGCCTCCAAGGAGTCCGGTTCAAGACCGAACGGCTCGTTGCAGCCGCCGCATCGTAACTCCAAATCTTCTTCCATCGCAGCTGCTAATCTCTCATGATGAGCCTTGTGTTCCTCGTCGCCAAGGGACCCGTAAATCCGTGACAATCTTGACCTTACGGTTCGCACCAGGAACTGAAGATGGAGCGGTCGGCGAGACGACGGACAAAGGACCCGTTAACGATCAAGAAGAGATAGAGAAAGAGAGAGAGAAACGCGGAGAGGCGGACAAAGAGGATTACCTTAGCACCGACCGATCCAGCGACTTCGAGCAGTCTTGTATTGAACTCAAGCGGACGACAGTTACATATCTTGTGCTGCAATCGAAGAGCCTCGAGGCACCTCGCCGCACCGTCCATCGCCTCCATTTGACAGAGGCGGTCGCCGGTTGCTGCCGCGGACCCCATCGCACTCTCGTATTGCCGAAACGCTTTCTACGGTAGATGTTTATGAGATTCGCCAATAGCCTAAGTACTGCGATGGCTGTATCACGCGTTATGGCCAGAGGAGGAGGTAAAACAATAGTCAAAAGGGACTAATACTTTTGAACACCCTCGCGCAGTTCGGTCTGATTCTACTTACGTTTATGTCGGCTTTCTTTCTATAAATGTCTCCCATGATTCGTATACTCCTCGCGTAACTGGCTTGATCTCCGGATACGAGCGACAGACGCGTTGCTTCCTGCGCGGAATTGCGAATCAACAATGGCAACACAATAGAACTCATGTCGCAGGTGAAACGTACCGAACAATAGTCATGCGCATCGCCGAGTTCTCCTTTCTTCCGAAGCGCAGCGGCCATTTGCAGCAGGGCTGCTCTGTGGTGCCGCGAGTTTAGATCACCGAGCTGCAAGCTTCTCGAGAGATCGTACGCCCTAGCAGCGTATCTCGCGCTTTTATCGGCGTCGTGTAGTCTGCAGAAGAGCTCCGACAGGCCGACGTACACCTGCGAATGCGGATCGCATCGAGTTGCTGTTATAACACCCGTTTCACACAGAGATACCTGCATCGCGATACGCGTATGCGACGCAGCGATCAACGCGAGAAAAGGTATCGCGGTACTGTACGCCGTCCGAACGCTCTCATTTAATTGCATATACGGCGAGCATTCATCGTCCGCGCATCTCGATACAAGCATCCTCGCGTAAAACGGGTTTAAGCTGAACGCGCCGAGCGCGAGCCTTACTTGTAACTCCAGCGACGGATCCTGAATGGAGTGAGCGATCTTGTGGGCCCTCTGAAAGGCTTCCAGAGCCTTGCAAAATCCCGCTAGCTCCAAATGCACTCTGCCTACAGTCAGGTGGACCAGTCCGGCTGTCGCGCATTGGTCGCATTCGTTGTATAAACTAGGAAATCATAGGATTGAATCGGTTTCTTTCAGATTTGGGTGCCTAGAGGAAGTACCTGTGTCTCGCATAGTCCAACGCCCTGTCCAACGCGCCCAACCGTTCGTGAGCCCTTGCCAGGTTTAAGTACGCCTCGGCCCGCATATTGGGTGAATCGAGCTCCTCCGAGATGCATAATTGCTTGTGACCGAAATCGATGCTGTCCCTGAAATCACGCGATTCCTCCAGACTATGTTAATTCTTGCGGAGGGGTCAAGAAAGGGGAAGAGGGAAAAACACGGGTGTACTATAGACCACTCCTCAGAAGGAAAATGCCTCGTTACCGTGTCAAGGATTCCGAGTTTTCTTTCTCTCCGACTTTCGCGTTTCGCGCACAAGTAAATACTATCTCTTGGTCACAATCTCTCTATTAAGCTCTTTTTTCTTCCTGGTCCACGTACTTTAAGCTAGGAGGCTCGTAGTGCTCTCCATAGCGGTTAAGTGGGTTGAGCAGTCCGACCGACCACCGCGCTCGTGCCTTTCGGCGAAACGAAACGACGGCGAAGCTCTCGCGGGTTTTCGCTTGAATTTGCCGACTTTTGTTTCCCCAACGCGAGTCCCGTTCACCTCCCCCCCTTCATCTCGGATCGGGCCTTGTACGATCCAACTATTAAGACTATCGATTTCTTTCAGCAGAAGCGGAACCCCCATCGATACCGAAGGACAAATTTCTGGTAACAATTACTCGACGGTGCAATGCCGAGGAAGACGCGAACGTGGAAGAGAAAAACATGATCGTTCAAAGAAATCTCCACGGCGATCAACGGGCGAAGCGAATCGTTTGCATTCGGAAATCGATCGAGAGACTGTTCGCGCGACGAATACCTATACTTTCCCCAGTCCATGTAGGCTTGGTATAAATAACCGAGGAGCGCGAACTTGTCCTCGCGTTGTCTGATATTCTTCAGCGCGCCCCACCATTTCCGCACGGCGGCCTGTTGTTTGTGGGCGCGGTACAGCTTCAAGCCTTGCTCCACCTAGGACAAATAGATTCCGAAAGGGTGATTCGCGGAACAACGAGGCCATGAACGAGAAACACACGCGGCCGCCGCGTTATAAATGCCGCGACGGCGGCGGCGGCGCGCGTGGTTAAACGTTGGAGAAAACGGATTCTATCGATTCGACCTTGAACTTTCTCCGTCGATGATTTCAGATCCAACGATCTCGTGTAACGTAAATATAGCGGCCGACCTCGACCGATAGCGGCGACGACGGCCGGTAGCGATCCAGCAGGAAAAACGAAGGTAACGAGTACGGTAGCTGGCTGCGTCCGAGGTCGCAGTGATTTCGCGATCAACCGGAAATACTGCCGCGTTTTCCCGATCGTTCCCGAACCACGACCTTTCGGCACGCTACATTTTACGCGCGCGCCTCCACCCTCGTGGCGAGGTACGAGGGCCACCTATGTCACCGATACAAACGTATCGCCCAATTTTCAGCCGCTGCCACTCCACGGATATACCATCATCCCCTTTCTGGCGCCGGACTTGCTTAGGGATTCGAGATTTCGACGATGTTTAGAATGTGCCCTGGCATTCGATGCCTACCGTACGATATTCATTACTTTAACCTACTTAAGTCGGAAGGAAAAATAAATCGTAACGACCTCGGCATGCTGTTTTGTATAGCATTATTTAAACCGGTCAGTATATAAAGCCGCTTCGCGCTTATCGCGCTGGTTGAATTGTTTCTTTTCTTCTCTCTTATGACGAACAAACGACCCAAGCGTTTCACAGCTTTTCCGAGCGAAGTTGTTTGAATCCAGAAAAGCTTAGCTTCGGCGTTTACCTTATAAGAAATACAACTGACTACAATGCCGTATTATATTCGTGCTAAAACTGGGATCGTTTTACCGGAAACTACAGATTCCGCCCCACAGAATATCCGAGAGAAATACGACGAGGATAAAAAAAAACAGCGAACCTGTTGGGCACCGTGACATTTGACATTTTTACGCTTGTACATATAGAACATGCGGGACATGTTTTTATTTGCTCTCCGATGGTTATTCTAGGAGGTCGCCGTGTCAGCCTCGAGGACTGGCGAGGTCGCAAAGGGATGGAGAGGAGAGATTACCAGGACTTGGAATTAGGAGGTAGCGTGACCGCAAGGTATCGCGTGCGTATCTCCTGGCTCGCAACGGTCTCGACAATGACCGAGAAAAAGCGTTTGCCGAGGTTACGATCGGTTAAGACGGCGAGAAGCGAAGGAAGCGGAATCGAGCGGACGACGATCGAGCGACTCACCCGCCTCCGAGCAAAGTGTTGGTCCAGTCGTTGTCTACAGCCTACCAGACATTCCCAGAAACCAGCTCCGGATCGACCGTTCTGATAGTGCCCGTTCCCGTTCGAGTTCTGATGGTGGTAGTCCTCCTCGGTGAACTCGCACACGTCGAGAGGATGTCGCGACCCGTCCGGACTACCCAGCAGCGCGGTCGCTGACAACTGATGACTAGCCGGACCGCTGCGAATTCAACACAATCATTCGTAGGGAACGCGGGTACCGTTCGCGAGGAACCTCTGGGACGGCTGCGATCGCGACCCCGCGGCTTCGTTTAGGTCCAATACTCGGGGCATCGGGTTGAATTTCGCGTGCGAGATCCGAGATGAGTTCGCGGGGCAAAGACCGCTTGGCGCCGTCCCAGCCAGCGTTCCACACGAGCACCGTTCCCCATCTAACAGCGTGCCGCATTGCGACCGTGCGTTTCTTTCAATCTTTGTCCTCGCGTCGCTTATCGCGATTGAAAGAAACGACGTACCGCCGTTTAAGAGGAATCCCGAGATCTCCTATAAGCTTTAATGTAGCATCCGCAGGCTGATCGCGCGGGTCATTTCCATCGGTTACACGATATACCGTAGTAGACTATCGTACGAAAGGATCGCGCGTAGAAAAATCGATGATAGAGCTATGCTTGTATAGGAAATCTCAGGTTTAAGTGTCCGTCTTTCATCAGCCGATGCGCGCATCGTGGCTCGGCATAGCGTTCGCGCAATTTCGGTTCCCGTCACCAAACAGCCAGTAGCTGCTAGCCACGGTGGGCGAGGCACCTGTGACCTCTTTTCCTGACCTATATACCGGAGCGAAGGTTGCCGAGTTACGCCGCGGCACCGGTAAACTCGCGACAGACTTATTCCACCCCCGCCTCCATATCGAAACACTCGAGTCTCGGGGTTCTCGAGCGGAGGAGTACGCGTTCGAGAAAGGGATGCGATCGGATTTTAGGAGGGATCTCTTCACCGAACGCTCTCTCAGATACTTGCCCAAGGTAGTCTCTCGAGGAAATGGATTCCCATGACATGACTGCGCGTGCCTTTCTTCGTTACTTTTCCCTCGAAATACTTGCTTCGAGATCTTCGCTCGCATATCGATTGTCCGTTCTTCTCCAGATGCTTTTGACCGTCGGCGACATTATTGTTTTAACGATGCCTGCGAGACGTTGCATCGCTCCGCGTACGGTTTCGTTAACGGATGGTGTATCAATCACACGGTTACGCGGGTTCCCGGGCACGAACGATGATGCGTTAATTAAAGTACGTGTGCGAGGTTGAGGTAGCTCCCCTTCGCGCGTGTTTCGCCCGCGGACCACGGTCGGTTGAAACGAGTCGAGTATGGACAGAGTTTAGTCGGAATTTGACGGAGTTGTATAACGGATTCGCGCGATTAGGAGAAAATAGACTTTGCTCTCGCGGATCTTTGTACTTGCGTGTAATTGAGCATCGAGAGAAACAACACCTATACGTGTACTTTCGAAAGAATCGTCGAGGTTGCAACGTTCGATATTACCGTTGAAGGAACGAGTCGGAGCAACGGGGACGGGTATATACGGGTGTTTGAACGGTGCGACGGTAACAGGAATATTAGTATGAAACTTGGGCGAGAGAATGTTTGTTCGAGGACAGAGAGATAAATTCACGGTTTTCTCGGGCAGTCTGTTTTTTTGTCTTTTTTTTTCTTTGGTTCGCGACGCCTGCCGACGTCCGTTCGACCGGTAATTAACGAAGATCGTGGCTCTCGAGTTTCCTTTTTGCTTAATCTACGGCTTTTCTAGCGACCGGCGCTTTATTTCTTTCTAAATTTGATTATCTTCGAACGCGTAACGCGATTAGAATCGATCCTTTGGAAAACACTCGGAACGAGTGCACGTAAATATTCATATATTCGATAACATATGTATGTATACACGTCTGTATATATATACATATATATATATATATTTATTTATTTATATATATTTATCTATATATATATAGGTAGAGCTGTGTGAGGATTATTTAGCATCGAACACAATGGTAGCGACCAGAGGGATCGCGAGGCCGGAACGGCAAAACCCGAGGCGTCGTTAACTCGTCCGTTGCATCGTAGCAGCTCGCGCCGTTTTCTCGATCGCGATCGACGACGCGAGTGCGTTTCGACGCGGCAAACGATCGATACCCGCCTCCGTTATCGGTCCTCCCGTCCCATCACGGCGTTTTCCGCTGGCAATCGCGCTCAAGGTCAGCAGATCGCGCGATAATATTGTCGAACGGTTCGCCGCGAGATCGAGGATCGCGAGGATGGTCACGTTCAAAGCCGAAGTCGAAGCGAACAGCGTGGGGAGCATCGAAACAACGCTCGTCCTCTAAGCACGTCGCCGATTCTAGACGAACCACGTCGACTGGTCTCGGAACGGAAGCGATTCCTGGGTTTGGCACTGGGAGGAGGACTCAGTGTTCGAATCTGGCGCCCATCTCGGATCGCAGGCTCGAGGACGTTCGGTGTTTAAACGCGAGACGGTCGTTGTCGCGCACGCGGAGAACCAAGGAACGATCCGCTCCGCGGCGGGACGTCTCCGCATGCCGTAAGGACGACGAGTCCAACGTTGACGGATCCTGCTACTCGTCCCGTTATCTCCGGGCTTCCGGCCTCTCGTTGGTCCGCGAACGGTCCGCGCTCGTCCGCATCGGCGACGCGATCTCCTACGCGATCCAACATGCGTCCTCTACCGCATACCGACGGGGGTCCCCCTTGCGAATCGTCCCGCGAATCGTCCCGCGAGCGATCGCGCAGAAATCGGGTAACGCGTCGACCTCGAACGGAACTCGCGGGAGGGTCGCTCGGGTCCGGGTTACTCGCGAAAGTCAGCCGGCAATGGTTGGGGTAGAACTGTCGCGCCCGAGCCGCAGCAGCCCGCAACACACGACCCGACCGATTCTCTCTCCTCTTCCCTCCTCTCTCGTCTCTTCTCTCCTCTCCGCTCCACTGCTAGCCGTCGCCGCTTCTCTCTCACCCGGTCTCTCTCCTCTTCTCTCCTCTCCTCCGGCTACCACCGACGTCCCACGTTCTCGCTTTTCTCCACACCCCCTCCCGAGCTTTTACCTTGCCTCTCGCTGCCTCCACCCCTCTATCCTTTCCACCGATCATTGCTATTCGCCCCGACCCCCTCGTTCACGTTTCAGGGGTGGTGGCAGCAGATAGGGAGAGGGCGAGCTCGGGCGAGAAAGAGAGAGAGAGAGAGAGAGATAGAGAGAGAGCGACGGAGAGGGAGAGGGTGGGAGGGAAGGAGGGAAAGCGCTCGCGCGCTTCAATCCATTCCGTATTCGGCGACAATTCGTCCTTTCGCGTATCCGCTACCCCTGTCCAAGTTACTGGCGATTCCGATCCAATTCTCTGCCTCCGTTCCGTTCGTTCTTTTTTCTCTCTGTTCGCGGTGCCAATTTCCATTCAACTACCGTCGATAAAGTGGAATCGATCGAGCAAAAGGAGACGGTTCGAGGAGGACGGGAACGAAGCGCGTCGTTTTCCCTCTTTGACAGGAAAAAGCGAAAGTTCTCCGGAAAGTCGAGGGCTCGTTTCGATCCGATCGCTGATTATCCGTGGCGAATCGAAGTGGACGAGCGGCGTGTATCGAGGGGCGCGGGTGACGCGACCGCGGCCTCGGCCGGGCGGTCCATCGGCGGCCCGTGGCCCGTGGCCCGTAGAAAAATGGGCGAGGCATTGCCCTTTCGTGAACTTTCAGCTTTGGCGGATGTAGGTGTCCCAGCCGACCGAATCCTGAAAGGAGGAGAGCGTGACCCGTTTTTCGTCTCGCTTCTCGAATCCAGACCGTTCGTCTTGCGCGATTCGCCCTCCTCGTTCGCAACACGATCGGATCCGAGCTGCCCCGAGATTTCACGAGGACCGTACCGCTCACGGGGGTGGATCGCAGAGTTACCCCTGCACACGGAACTCGCCCCCCCCCCACACACACACACCAGCACCTGCTTCCGACGATGTACGCGTATTTTCAGTCGACGCGCTCATGCGAGCTGCCTGCCGATCCTCTCCGCCTGTGTATATGTATACGACGCTCTCGATGCTTCCTCGATCGGCCGTCGTTTCTATAAAACTAAGCGGACTCGTTTTAGTTTAGACTTCTCTCGGCGTTGACCCGGGAAAACTCCGGGCGGAATTTTTATCGGGCCGCCGGGGAAATTCTAAGCCCTACTTCGGCAAGCGAGATCCCGTAACCGCAAAGTAACGTCGATGTTCGAAAAATGATCGAAGATCGGCCAACGACGAAGCGCGGCCCGCTTTATTGATTTATATTTGAAAACTTTCCCGGCAATCTGTCCGACTATATTTAGAGTTCGCCCGTCGATTCTTTCCGATCCATCGTTGTAGTTCCGCGGTTCTATTTTTCGACGAGCGATTTACTAAAAGCCGCTTATGCGAGCTAATGCTTCGCGGTCGAATTAGTTCGGAGCGCTCGCGTTTCGTTGGTTATTTTATTTAAAATATTTTATATTTATACTTATAAAATTTATTTTATAATTACATTTTTAGAAACATCCGCTAAAACACCCGCAGACATACTTAAAATCACGTATATTTATTGTGCAACGGTAAACGCAGCGTTGCCTTTATTTCGACCGTAAAGACTCAAATGTTGCTAGAATTTTCGGCGCATGTATTTGAAAGCCTGACACCATCGTATCAGCCATTTTAACGATACCGTCGTTCTCAGCGTCTCTTCCTGCCGCGAAAAGCGACTTTCGCTACCGCCAGCGCCGATCGCCGAAGCGTAACTCCCCGCTCGTGAACGTGGAAAAGTCGAAACCACACCCTGACACTAGATTTCGCCAGCCACTAGAACGGCCCAGGGTGTCTCGGAGGCGGATCGACGACGGGTCCGAGAGGATTCCGATGAGTCCTAATTGGTCGGGCTGTTGTCGAAAATAATCCGACTGGGTGTAACCGGCGGCTAAACGTTGCTCGTAAAGCGTCCGAACGGCGTGGACTACGCGTGCGTTTCGGCGAACGAGCGATCGTCGGTGACGAGCGAGTTGCTACGAGCGTCGACGAGCGTGTACGAGCTTGCGGCTCGCACTCGCGCACGCTTTCGTATCGCGCGCGCCGGCTCTTAGAAAGTCCGCAGTTACAATCTTCCCCGAGTAACTTTGCTTCGGTCCGCGATCCTCTTCGTCCATTCGCGGTCGCCTCGATCCGAGTATTCGCAGTTTACCTCGTTTCGTAAGATCGGAAGTTCCGCGATCCGATCGGATCCGATCCGAGCCGAACCGATCGCGATGCGCGCCGCGTTGTTCTCGGAATGATCGACGAACGAACGACCGTCGATCGTGGATCGTACATCGAACGAGATTCGAAGCAGTTCCGAGGAGTATTTTCCCGTTCTTTCCGTTCGTTTCTCGGAGACCGAACCGGTAACGAACTTGTGCGGAACCGGCGAAAGTTGTCGAGATGACGCTCGTAACGAACGCGGTGTCGTACGCGTGTCAAGCTGCTGGCAGACCGTCCTACGACGCTTTCCGACATCATCAGCTGCAGCTGAGACAGCAGCCGAACCACGGTCACCGGTACCATGACCGATTCCACCAACACCGACATCACCATCGCTACCATCATCACCGGCGTCGACGCGTCTACGCCTCCGACGAGAGTCCGACGATCGACTACCTGCAGGAGTACATGTCCGAGAGAACCCTAGGCCAGGGGGATGCCAGAAGCATCGTCGAGACGGCGGAGAACGTCTCGACACTAGAGTCAACGAGCTCGCAGCGCTACCGATACGAGCATCGTCTCGGGTAAGCGTCTCCGCGTTCTGAAACAGCGTGTTTTCTTCGTTAAAATCTGCGCGAAGAAAATAGCGGAGCCCGCTAGTTTCGGGCTTTTCTCTGCCCCGGGCAGTTCTCAAGGAAATTTTTTCAGCCAGAGGAGATCCTACGGAACAACGTGTACGCGTTTCATCCATCCGTTCGTCGCGTCGTGGATTCTTGTTGCCGAGTGCTGTCGTTATTCCAACCAGAAACGCGCGGATGGATTTACAGCGCATTAAGCCATTTTCGCGTTGTACCTAACGTTCGTTTTCTCCGTGTCTCTCGTCGCGACGATCAAGGTAGACGACGGGGATCGTGCTCTTCCGACCACCTGGAACTAGTCCAATCGCGTCGTCGGATCCGTTCACCAAACTTCTGTTACGCGAGTCTCTTTCTTTCATCTTCTTCGCTTTTTCACACAGCCTATTTCCGGGTTATCATTTCTCCGGATACGGTAAATCCTCCTTAATCGACGCTCGGTTTGTAAACAAGAATTGACAATTTGGGAACAGGAGACGCGATTATTCGAGCCTCGCGGCTTGCGTTTTCATGGTTGCCGATTGTCGACGGCTGTAAAAAACGAACCTCCTCTTCTCAAATTATCCATTCTTGTTTCCAAACTGAGCGTCGATTATAATTGACAATTTGAGAACAGGAGACACGATTATTCGAGCCTCGCGGCTTGCGTTTTCATGGTTGCCGATTGTCGACGGCTGTAAAAAACGAACCTCCTCTTCTCAAATTATCCATTCTTGTTTCCAAACTGAGCGTCGATTATAATTGACAATTTGAGAACAGGAGACACGATTATTCGAGCCTCGCGGCTTGCGTTTTCATGGTTGCCGATTGTCGACGGCTGTAAAAAACGAACCTCCTCTTCTCAAATTATCCATTCTTGTTTCCAAACTGAGCGTCGATTATAATTGACAATTTGAGAACAGGAGACACGATTATTCGAGCCTCGCGGCTTGCGTTTTCATGGTTGCCGATTGTCGACGGCTGTAAAAAACGAACCTCCTCTTCTCAAATTATCCATTCTTGTTTCCAAACTGAGCGTCGATTATAATTGACAATTTGAGAACAGGAGACACGATTATTCGAGCCTCGCGGCTTGCGTTTTCATGGTTGCCGATTGTCGACGGCTGTAAAAAACGAACCTCCTCTTCTCAAATTATCCATTCTTGTTTCCAAACTGAGCGTCGATTATAATTGACAATTTGAGAACAGGAGACACGATTATTCGAGCCTCGCGGCTTGCGTTTTCATGGTTGCCGATTGTCGACGGCTGTAAAAAACGA